CACGTACCCACGCGACAGGGCAGCTGTACATTTGAGATTTGAAAATATTTGCGCCTCGACTGAGATGTACGAAAAGCTTTATTGTTGAATTTAATAGTATAAAGAATCCGCATTCGGATAAAAAGTTTAATTAAAACCACTTTAATTTTTATTGTTAATTTAATTAATTAATTTTTATTTTTCAAACATACGATGTCTCGATACTTTTTTGTTTGACATTAGCGAAGTGACGGAAGGAATAAAATGTTTATTTTTGTATCAAATTATAAAAGTTACTTAACATAACCACTTTATACAATTTTCGTATTCAATTATTACCTCGTCTGTCGATCGACCTTTTAAAGGTCGATGTCAAAAACACCCCTGTCTGTCAAGCGACCTTTTAAAGGTCGATTGGTCCCGATGTCATTTAATGTGTGATTTCTCGCATTTAAACTATATTTATTTTTATCTAACTTTTGTAACGTGTAAAGAAAAATACAAGCAATAATATCATACTAAATGTCAAAAAAGTAATAACTCCAATAACATAAATTATTGTAATTTGTGCAGACAATTTATTTAAATTTTGGCGATCTTTGAACTCAATACTTGTGAGTAAAAAATTAACAAAATAGTGTAAAATTATTAGTATAAGTATTGGAATATGATGGAAGGGTAAGTAATTAACAGTTTTTATTTCATAGGATGTGTATTGAATAGAGATTTTATACAGAAATTGTTATATTTGTCAAACATCGTAAGCATTCACGCGCGCTTAGTCCTTATATTTTCACTGTTTCTGAATAAAAAATACACTAGTGATAGCATAATATTTTTATTAACATGATGTAAATTTATAACTAAATAACTACGTATAATTAAATTTGTAAATTTTCTATTAGATTTTAAGTAATTAATAATATAATAACACGTAACACAAATTCGAGCCGCCATTTTTGACGGCTGTTGGATAGTATGGGGAAGGCTTTTTTAATATTCATTAGAATATTTTCATTAAAGTTTTTTAGGATTATTTGAAATTTAATATTTTATAAATATTTTAACTGTTTTTCTAAAAAAAAATTATTTTTTTAAAACAGTACGATTTTTATTTTACAGATATAAGTTCAACTTACACGTTACTTTAAAACATTATAAAAATAAAAAAACCTAACTGCATAACAGCTAACTAAAAAGATAAAAACAAGTTGACGAAGGAATGAAGTATTATGCAGTTGGTGACATACACATGTACATCTCGCGACAAGGATGAAATGTATTTTTTTATTTACAGCTTTTTAATTTTATTAGAAATTTGAAGTTATAATAGGTCTTTTGAAATTGCCGTTCTACAATACTTACTGGCCATTGGAAACGTAATTTATGATTGGCCGGCAATAAACTCTAAATTCAAATGAATTTTATTTTAAAAGTATGGAGTTCTATTTTTGAATTCAGTCGTTTGTTTATTAATTAGTGTTTTGTTTTCACTACATTTGTTTGTTTTTCATCAATATAAACACAATAAAAATACGAGTAATTATGAAACACGAGTTCCATCGCGGTAGCAATCCCGCACAAACAGCTCGCAACATTAATGACGCGTACGGAGTGCCGAGTGAACACTACAAACGAACGCACAACTCGTTATTGGTCTGAACACTTCCAACATCGAAATTTTGATCTTAAAAAATTAACCCCGTGGTCGCCCGAAAACTAAAATCAGTAACGACGCATTAAAGGCGATAGTGGAAGCTGACGATTCTCAATCTGTGGCTGAGATAGCAGCAGCTTTCAACGTTAGCATCAAAACAATATTGGTCCATTTGCATCAAATTGCATCAATAGCATGGGTGCATATTTTGATTAATAGAAATGAAAAATATTTATAAAAATACAATACTTTAACTTTCTGTATATTAAACGACAATTTCATAGGTAAAGACTTAATATTTAGCAATTTCTTATCCCAAATTACCTTTAAACATGTAAGTTGTGTTCTTTTAATTTTTTTTGTGATCACCAAAAATCTTTATTTTAAGAGCCCATTCGATTGATTTGGAAAATTTTTTTACAGACAAATTGGCGCCTGATATCCGCCATTTTACTTTTTAACTATTTTTAATTTTTAACTATAACGCGAGTATTATAGGCTATATATAGCTTATGACACTCGCGTAAATACGAAACTAACGACATATGAATCATAGAAATCGGCCCACGTACATACATACATACATAGACTGATAAACACATTACCCTCCTTTGCGTCGCGCAGTCGGGGAAAAAATAAGTTTATTTGCATCTCTTAAACTAGTATCATGTTGCATTTTATGTTTATTGAAGCTGCACCAAAATTGCTTAAAACATGCCTTATTAGATTACAATATTATGATTGGAGGGTGAACAAGAAAGACCAATTGTAGGCAATGTACCCCATAGAGCGAAAGCGAACAAGGGTGTAGTATAAATAACTGTTTATTAAAAAAAACCGACTTCCAGGCACTAAAATGTAAAAAATAGCTAAACGGAGGTTTTCATTTAGAATAGATACCTTAATCAGATATTTTCGAAGTCGGTGCTAGCCGACAATATTTTAAGATATGAATATCTAATACGTAAATATGAATTTTATGTATCGAAATAGGTATATTAGATTTACTTTGCATCGGCTGGAACTGACTTCGAAAATATCTGATTTATATATTATACCACGCCTTTATTCGTTTCGACGACGTGACTGAACATCGAAGACGTGGTGAACATTATATGGGAGGAGGTTAGTATAGTTACTTATGTATCTTTACTTAGTAATAATTAGTATTTGTTGCTTTTAGGATAGGTGTTCATCTTTTTTTTTTTCATTTAAAATAAATATGTATAAAAGCCTCTACCTGCAAGCAATATTCATTAAAAAGTGTCCTTTACCTAACAAAAGGCATCCAAAATTTTCTACTTCAGATTTAAAACATCTGTGAGTACTAATTACAAAGTTTTTATACTCTACTATATTTTTTTTACTACTATAACTATGGAGTCCATCAAATACTCAATACAGTAACTGGCACAATACTTCAATCTTATAAAATATTAATGAAAATTTTAAAAGTAACCCCGACATGTAATTCACCATTTTGTGGTGGCGACCATCTTGGATTCGAAAATTATACTAGTCAAGCCTAATTCATTTGATACCCATATTGAGGGAGTTGTGAAAAAATATGTAAGCCGCTATTTTGTGGCGGCGGCCATCTTGGACCGATTTTCATCAAACATAGCTAAGAACACTTCCGAATTATTCACCTTTCAGAGAAAAAACAATAACAAAATCGGATGATCTCTTCGGGAGCTACCATACCACAGACAGACACACACACAACACACAGCACGTCAAACAAATAACTCCCCGTAGTTTTTGCGTCGGAGGTTAAAAACAGTAGAAAAAAAATAATTCCTCTCCGAATTAATATTTAAAGTTGTTTTATTTTGAATTGATGTTTTATTATCATTTTATTTCCATAACATAATCTGTTCAGATGTGATGGAATTGGTCGTATCCATACTTTTTTAGCTGTCCCTTGTAATTCTTATAGTAAAATTGTTAGTTTACAGAATTGATTTCTGAAATATTTTAATAAGGCAACATGTCTTTTTATTATATTTTTCATTTTGAAATATCACTTAATTGTAAGGTATAAATATATTTTAAAGAAAATTTAAACAGAATTTGCTCTGCGATCCAAAGTTTGAGATGACATTTTTTAGCACTTATTTTCTAGTGTTTGGTTTATTGTTCAATTCTCGTAAACTAAATAGTTATAAGAACTCAAACTTTGTCAGTATAACGTACGTGGACTAAACTATAATATAAATGATTATCCTAAATCTCTTGATCTTCAATGCTCTTAGAATTCAAGTATAAAAAACACCTCTTTTTTATCCGGCGCTAAGTCGCCATAATTGAAACATGTTATTGTTAAGCTTGTGGTGTAAAAAAAATGTACAGTGAGTTGTGTTGTTTTAATCAATTAATATAAAATATTGTATCTATAATTAAATGAAATTAAAAGTTTTTAAAATAATAGTTTTATTTAATAATAATTCCTGTTTTCATACTATATACTGATAAAAAATCACTTACAGTAATTTCAACTTAGAATTAACTATATAATATTAAACACAATTGATCTTATTTATATATATATTCTTAGTTTATTTTAAAACGATTCTAACGATATAAGCTTTATATATAGCTTATATATAAAATTTTAATAAATATTGTTATTTTAATGATGCATACATATTTCGCGCAGGCCCTCGAAAAGTAGCCGACAGATGCGCCATATTTTTGTAAAATGACAGCGACAGTTGAGGGGTTATACGACCTGGCAGCCCCGCACGGTTGTCTACCGAGTGTATACCGAACGCGACGCGCGTAGGTATAACTCGATTCCGACCATTTGTATGAAGATGGAATACTGTATGTAATATTACCGTGCTTATGGGTTGTTGGTGAAATAGGGCATAATGTGTCATTTTAAAGTTAAAAAAAATATTTTGTGAAAACAAGAAATAACATGTAGGCTATATATATGTTGTAAGACTACCGTAAGGAATTTTGTACATACTCAATTTTTTTCTACATACATTGGCAGTAGTTAAAATTAGTTTTTTGTTTCTACTGAAAAGTTGAATATAATAATATAATAAATATAATAATATATTTTCGTTTGTCGGTTTTTGCATACACAGCGACGATATGTATATTTATTTGCCTTTGTGTCCTGGGAACCTTAGTCGAGATAAAGATAAAGAACGAAACTGCCAAATAGTGAATGTGTTTCTGTCAGGTTCAATATGTCATTTGAAAATGACGTAGGTAGTTTGACTTTGAGCTAAATTAAAGTAAATACATTTTTGTAAAAATATTAAATAGTTAAACTGATTACTGAATACTGACCATATAACAAGCTAATAGTTATTATTATTCCTTTAGAATTATTATTGGACTTCACAAAATGTTTTGTTGCTTAAAAAATTGTGTCAATGGATTCTCTCTAACACCGACTGTGCCCATACGAGTGAAGAGTAATCCAGTACAATTAGATACTTTACATATGGGTAATGTTTAATATGAAATTTTTTAAAGTTCATTATTAATTATATTAATTATTAACGTTAATTTAGGTATTTAAGTTGTATGTCTTAGTATCGTTTCCTATAATTTGTACATTTTTTATTAAATATTACATTTGTTGATTTTTTTATAAGAATAATAGTATTAGACTTGTTAATGATATAATTATTATTTCAGGTCATGAAGTAGTAATAGTAAAAGGTGGTCAACGGGTATGTGGTTCAGGATGTGCTTTAGGCAATGCACCATTGGTACAAAACAAAGCTTATTTTGAAGTTAAATTACAACAGGGAGGAGTGTGGGCTATTGGATTAGCTACAAGAGAAGCTGATCTAAATAGAGTCCATGGTAAAAACACAACAAATACTGTTAGACCTTCAAACTTTATTCACACAATAATCATTTAGAATATAATTATAAACAACTAGAACTACCCATATTCAAACTTTCGATTGCTACCAAACTTCACAGGATCACCTGCTGGGCTAGTCGGAAATTGCCCGATAATTTTATCAAAATCGCTCCAGCCATTTTGGAGTCTTTGGGGAACTTACATACACATAGATTTTTAAATATAAAGATTTTATTGAAAAAAGTTATACTTAAAGTATAATAAGTTAATGATAAAATGTATATACTACATATGATTAATTAAAACATTGCCTCACATTTTCTTGTATCTATACTTAATATTATAAAGAGGTAAAGTTTGTGAGGTTGTAGGGGGTAATCTTTGAATCTACTGAACCGATTTAGATGAAATTTGGTAAGAAGATAGTTTGAGACCCTGGGAAGGACATAGGATACTTTTTATCCAAGAAATCATCCCTTAAGGGGGTGAAAATGGGGATGAAAATTTGTATTAGGATTCTGGGAAGCAAGCAAGCAGCTAGGGACAAACTTATTAAAAAATTGTGTATACACAAAAAATGATTAATATGTTTTGTCATTTATTAAATTGTATTAATAGCTCTTTTTACGACAATTTCTAAATAAAACTGACTAATATACATTCCTTTTACCTAAGTTGACATTTCTAAACAACAATGTTCTATTGCTTAATATGCACTACACAACCCATCTTTGGGTCAATGTCAATACAAGTAAAGGTCACATGACTGGTGATATAACCCTAACATTGTCAATGTAACAGTATATTATTTGCATAGTTTTTGTTATTCATTCATGCCATATTTGTGTAGTGAATTCTGTTGTAATTAGGTCGACTTTAAGTATGTATGTGAATATTTTTCGTCATTGTATATAATTAATAATAAACATTCATTGACAAATGATGATGATTTGAGGAAATAATTGTCATAAAATAAAATAAGTTATCATTTTAAAATAGCATTTTTCTATTCATTCAAGACTATAAATATGTTGGGATATTAACACACACAGCACCATCTAGTACCATGGTAAGCTTTGAGGCTTATGTTATGGATACCAGGTAGTTGATAAACTACACATATATAATTTAAAATACATACATATGATAACTATAAACACCCTTGACTGAAGTATAAACATTCACAATGATCACACAAATAAATGCCTCCAGCAGGTCTCGAACCCGCTATCCGCGAAGTGACCGCTGGTACAGCAAGTAGGGTCACTACAAACCGAGAAAAATGTGCCATAAAAAATATAAAGTTATTAGTATGAACTCTTATCGGCTAAAAATTGATATAGGTAACCTTTATTTCATTAAGTTGTGGTAGATATTGTGGATGAGATAGAATAGTTTCTGTGGGGTCTAAAGAACTCGCAAAAAGTTACTGAATAACATATAAGTAGACAAGAACTAGTGACTTATATAAAAAAAGTCAATCTGTTTATAACATTTTTGTGTTTATGTATAAACAAAAGAAATGAATATATCATTTTTCTTTTTTACTTGGCAGAAACAAAAATTTTTTTCAACATTTTTCAGGAGGTGTAGACAAAGAATCTTGGTGTATAAATAGTGATGGTACTGTGAGACATGACAATGTAGAGCTGTACCATCTGAAACCTCCATCTCGAGAGTCCCCTACTTCAGAACTCTTAGTCTCAACAGGATCACCTAACCATGTGAATCAAACAGAGAATGAGAAAACAGAAATTGATAGGGGTAATGAGAAGCAGTTAATGCCAGTGGAAGGAGATGTAATCGGATTAGCATATGATCACGTGGAGCTCAATTTCTTTTTGAATGGAAAAAATATGGAAATACCTGTGAGGAATATTAGGGGCACAGTTTACCCCGCACTTTATGGTTAGTAACTATTTTGATTTCTTTATTGATGAATGTAATTTATTATTAAACTAGCGTTTTCCTTCGGCTCCGCCCACATAGTACATTAATCACCAACATATCATATACTAAAACCTTCGGAATACGCTGCATCTTATGGTATAAGTATTATTCCGATCGGTACAGTTGTTATCGCAGTATAACGGAACAAAAAAATCGGCTCTCCATTATTAGTATAGATTTTTAGCTTTCCTTACTTAAAAGGTCAAATCCTTGACTAAGACTATGTTGGCCATCAGTTTGTCCATCAGTTCAACATTTAAAAGGCATTATCATTAGAACCATTCTTAGTGGTTTTTGTTATGTATTCTAATATTATAAAAAGGAAAAATTTGTTTTTTTGTTTGTTTGTATCGAATAGGCTCCGAAAGTACTGAACCGATTTAGATGAAATTTGGTAAGAAGATAGTTTGAGACCCTGAGAAAGACATAAGATAGCTTTTATCCCGGAAATCATCCCTTAAGGGGGTGAAAATGGGGTCGGAGGTGAAAATAGAAACAACCCAGGGACAAACCCGAGCGAAGCGAGGGCGAGTCGCTAGTAAATAATAAAAATTAAAAAAATATATCTTTAAGATTGTAATAAGTGTAAGGGTCTTTAAATATTAAAAATATTATACTTGCATATTTATATTTTTCAGTTGACGATGGTGCTATCCTCGACATTATATTAGATAACTTCAGATATCCACCACCTTCTGGATATGAAAGAATTATGGTGGAGCAGTCCTTACTTTAACACAAAAAAAAGTATTGAAAGAAACAGTATGTGCATGGACATTTATGTATTCCCGCTTTTAATGCGATCATTTAAGTGTGAGTATGTCGTGTAAAATTTAAGACTGTATCTGCTCTTCGACTATACTAGCTGGGTGCTGTCAAAAGTATAAACGTTTTATTCCGTAGTGCACTATTAAATTAAAAAATAATATTTAAAAAAAATGATTGTGTGTAACCTTTATGCGGTTGAAGTAAAACTTATTAAGCGTTGTGGTAGATACTGCAATTAAATTAAAATGAATGAAAACAAATATAATAATTTTATTAAATTATTATTATTTTTATTAGTAATGAATATTCATTTTTATAAGTAATAGTTATTATAAAATTATTAATAATAAATATATATTTTTATTAATAATAATTATACTAAAAATATTTTTTTTTTATGATTAGTAACACATACGTAAATATGACTCTTACTTTCGCGACACACTTCCACTACACTCGTTTTTCTCATGTATTGACTTATCTCTCGGACAGGCCTAAAGAAGTTTTACTTCAAAATTCTTATGAAAGAATGAGTCAGACTTATCTAATATTATGAACTATTTTAAATGTCTCCATCTTGTAATTATGTACATATCCTCCATAATCATGAAAATTTACAGGTTTAGACTATGTAAAGAACACATTCATTCGTTTTAAGTTATCTTATACTGTAGCAGACATGTTATTTTACGAAAATTAACTTTTATTATTTTTTAAGATAAATATTTTATTTATTACAGATTTGACTTCTCATTAATAAATTTTGATTTAACACTTCCCGAAACACCTTAAGAGGACCCTTTGTCCATAAAGTGGTAGAATTAAAAAAAAGGATACATGTTAAAATGAATAAAACTATTTTTCCAAAGAGCATTAATGTTTAGTTATATTTCAAATTGATCCAAAATTATCTGCAATACAATTTTTTTCTCATTTCACATTTAAAGTGACTTACCCTTTAATTGTGGAATGTTAACATGTATACAATAAAATGACTAAATCTAATCATTTTATTTATTTAAAACTGTATATCTGATGAGTTTTCAGATCTGCAAATCTGGTAAACTTTAAAAAAAGATATTAGCTTAAAACACACAATTTAAGCCTCTACTTAACTTCTGTTAGAGATTATGAACCAAAAAAACAGTAAGACAACAGACAAATATTTTAAAAATTGTGTTTTTTTAATAAGTAATGTATATAATTTCATATATGTTTAGTAAAAAGCTGTTTTTTGATATTACAAACAGACACTTTAATTTTATTTATCTGTATAAATGACGTGTTGCATGTGTATGCAAATATAAATGCTTAGGAACTTGTAGAGAGAATATTTTTTGAGCTTATTACATAATATGCACCAAGAAGGGATTTTAAGGCAATGAATCTTATACCTTACAAAATATAAAAAGTGGGCGTTAAAAAGGATGTCAATGTTGTAATTATAATAAAATAAAATTCATCATTACATTATTCCATAATACTTTTTAATTTTGTAAATGAAATAAAAAAAGCATCTAAATATAATACACTTCAACTTCAACAATAGTCTTTAAGTAATAAGCTCCTAATTAGTTTTTAATAAATTATCTCCTACATCTCTTCTTCAAACAAATATAACTAAAGTACATATTTCAAACTACCTTAAACATATAATTTTAGCACTGTAAGTAATTTTTTCATACTAAATTTCAATAGCAAATTCAATTAAAATCTAGAGTATTAAAATATCTGATATATAATTCATGTATTAAAAATACGTAAAAATCTCAAATGTTGAAATAGAAGTGCAATGAAAAAGAACATACAAAGTATTTATAAAATAATATTATTTTATATTGCAAATTAGATGATAGATCTGTTTTTTTTTTCTTTACATAAAGTAATTGTTCAAATTATTTATTGATTGTATTATATTAATCTGCTATGTATATAAAAAGTATATAAGTAAAAATTATAATATTAAATAAACATACTTATTACTAAATATTTAATGGAGATCTATTTGAATGAGTTGGCAGCTGTCATTGTGACATTTAAAAATATCTTTCAATTCAATTTTCCTGATATTGGCTTCAAATAGTGCCAGTTGAGCACAGATAATAAAAAAGATCCTTATTACTTGGTTCAAAATAATTAATATCTCACTCAAGTATAAAAAACATTATTAAAATATGAAAGTTGCATAGTTGGCAAATAGGCTTTAGCTTAATTTATTATAAGCTCTATAAACTGTATTTTATGGCTATGTAATTCATATGTATATAATTAACCAAAGAATTGGGTAAATGGCGACAATTTAGCTTTCATCATTTTCACATGTGTTTTATTTGGCAGATAGAAATTACCAAACATTGGCAGATATTATCAGAAAAATCAGTTAGTTATAACTAAAATCTATTTTTCTATGAAAGGTACATTGACTCACTTCACCTGAAAAGTTATTACTATTTCAGTACGGCAATGAGTTTATGGCTACCAATCTGATTCTAATGGTAATAAACGAAGTACACGAGATGGTAGGTATATGACCTACATACATGTATGTGCTAGTAGGCTTAATAAAGAAATAAAATAGCACCAATATTATAACTATAAATATAAGTTTGTTTTTATTTCAAAGTTCTTTTTCTGTCTAGCCAGTAGCAATGGTCATTCATATCATTTTATGTTTTAGTATATGTCGACGATGTAAGTAACCATTTTAAAATTAAAATTAATGGGTATTACAAGTGTATATAATCATTCCAATTCTATAAATATATTTTTTATACTTTAATTTAGGTGAAAAAATAGATCTTCTCATTTTGCATCTGTAAATACAAATACAAAAAGTTATTGGTGTCGAGAATAAAGTTAACACTTTACAGTGCTTACTTCTAAGCACATTAAACGACTGTGGATGTTTATAGTTTAAGTTAGTTCTGAGACTTGCCGGTGAGACCAAAAGTAAGGCCCTAGTGGGCCTGACATGAAAAGCTGTAAGTGGTTAGTACCACCATGAGGTATATTATTGTTTTAAAAAATATTCTAAGTGAAGAGAAAAGAAATAATGCGCCCGTAAATCAAATTTGCATTATTTTACTGACTATGGAAACATCAGTAATCAGATGATGGGGTAGTAGTGTATATTCACAGATAGCATTTTTACTTTTTATGAATTGTTTACCATGGTTAAAAATAGTTAAAGTCACAGAGTTTTTTCGAGATTTTTCGAGTATGAAAAAAAAATGAGCTAGTCATTTATTCATTTTAAGCTCTTGTATCTGTTGCTCACTTCTAATAATAATTGTTGGCGATTTTTCATCCTTCTTTAATAGAACTTTGCCATAGGCCGTCCAGCAAAATTTGTAAGCACCAGATTTTGTTAAATCACGAGCAAGGAAATGAAGACGAGAACCCTTTGGAGTTAAGTGCTCCGAGAGAAAAATGGGTGTATCCTCATGTGTTTTAAAGCCGAGATGTATACAACGTAATTTTGATTTATGCTTTATATTAAATGCCTTACCCATTTTTATTACCTCTTTCTGGATTAGTGTCGAACCAGTTTCCACAATTATCGGTGTATTAAGTTTGCCATGAGCCCTATATATGTCTTTTATGTCATGTTTGGTGATCGGACAGTCAATGTTCTTAGAGAGACACAGCGTCATTTCAATTAGGTCTTCTTTGGTCTCATTGGTTCTTTTCGGCACGTTCTTGATAACAAAGTTGCTCTTTTGGTTACTCATCTGAATCGTTTCAATTTTATCTTCTAATAATTTGATGTAGTTTTTCTCTTCTTTGGACTGATTTTCTACTTGACATACTTTTGCTTTAAGTTCTTGATTTTGAGCCGTAAGATATGCGATCGAGTTCTCAATAGAAATATTAGACTGTTGGATTTCTTTTAAAGTAGTGGTCATATATTGCATCTCTTTTTCTTGTTTTTCTGAGTAGTGACACAACATTTTTCTTATCTCTTCTTTAAACTCCTCAAGCTGTTTAAATATCGAGTCATCAATTCCATCTATGCTTCTCTTTGTCCGCTGGAATACATAGCTGGGGGGTGTACTCATACCCATCTCGTACAAGTCCGTCACTGATGGAGAGTTATTCATTAATGCCTCCATGCGTACTAGGATATATAAGATATATGTATAAATATACGATATATATTTATATAGATTATATATATTTATATATATTTATATAGTGTAAAGTAAAATTTTCAATTTACCATACGTTAGGTACATATTTGTATATTAAAACAGTTTAACTATTTGCGAATCAGAGACATCTACTAATTACCTATTCAAGCAAAAAAATAGTCCGAAATAGCACTATCCAATTTTATTTGTATAGGATGAGGCATCTGTACTAGTACAGTATTATATGATCTGTGATACCACTTACAGCTTTTTATGTTACTGATATAAAGATAATTTATAAAATATGTATATCTAATACAGTTTTAAAAATCTGTAGAAAAAAACATTAAAAAAACAATTTTAAACTTAATTCATAAACATCCTATTTCGTAAGATTGTTGTTTGTTCTGTGTATATCTTTATCAATATACTGTATTTAAGTACATTATTATAAAATATAGATAATGAGAAAACGGTGGACTTAGTCATTGGATTATGTTTGTATAAATTGTTTTAATTAAATATATTAATTGATCTCAACTAAAACATTGACAAATATTTTTTTATTTTTTTTTATCGTTTCTTAAAAATAAGATTTTTTTTAAATCCCTTTAAGGTAGTTCGACAATATAATATGTGTTTGTTTAAATATTGCTATTAAACTAAATATATAAGTATATATTGTACAAATAACACTTCTAAATATAGAGATTTTGTCAAACTAAATACCTACGAGTTTAAGTATTTCTGAAATACACAACAGTATCTGTATTACTAAATATAGTATATATATACATAGTGTAGCCTTTATTTAATGTAATATTTCAATAAATCA